CAACAACTTGCTTGATTATGTAGGGGCCTTCCCAGATGGGGCCAAGTTTACCCACACCTGACTCGGGGACCATGACTTTCTTGAGGACGAGGTCTCCCTCTTTGTAGTGCCTCTCTTTTACCCTCGAGTTTTAGTAGTAGGCCACCCGTTGTTGGTAGGCAACGACCCTTACTCTAAGTGCTTTGTCGTTCTCGGCCTTGTCGTATGCTTCAATTCGGAGCGTCGGCTGGCCAATCTCTGCTAGGGTAGCGGCTTCCATACTGTAGGTTTGGCCAAACGGGTTGCTCCTTCAGACAGTGTAGAAGCCGAGGGCTAGTACTGAGAAGGGCACCTGAAGAGGGACGAGATATGTCTCCCGCGATAGTGAATCTACAAGAGAGAAGGTGTTAGAGGCCTCGGGTGGGAATCCGAGGCGAAGGCTCCGATGGTCAAGTTAGTAAGTGTACAAGGTAGGCTATGAGTCTGGAGCCGAGGGGTCCAGACGAGGTCTCAGATAGTGCTAAGTCCTTAGAGGAGATAGCACTAGAGATCACAAAGGTTTTGAATCCCTTACCTTGTGGGGGTGCATTGTATTTATAGTCGGAGTTGCCAGGGGATAGTTAGGCTCGGATGGTCCAAATGCGAGTCGTACGAGGGCCTAGCGAGATGTTTTGCCAGAGCCACACAGCGCCCTGCAATTGGGTCTACCTGGTCCACAACGGGTAACCCCGAGCGTCCTCATGGCAAGCCTTTGCTGGCGCCCTCTAGTCGACATGCGTTAATCCTGTATAGGCCAACCGAATTCGCCTACATCAGGGACCAAGCACAAGTCTCCTCTTCTTCTCCCCTTCACATGGTTGTAGCATAGGGTGATTTGGAGAAGTTGCCGATATGAATGGAGTATTTCTTTGGGTAAAATACAAAAACCTCCCTTGAAGTTTCTGACAATCATAAAAACCTCCCCTATAGTTTCACTTTAGCAAAATCTCCATGCTAATTTTTAAATTTGACAAAAACCTCCTTTCTGTCAATAATCATGACGCAAAACATTAAAACATGATCAAATCTTTTCAAATACCTATTTTACCCTTTGATACGTTAACGATTTTCCTGGTCCTACTGAGATTGACATATTTTACCCTTTCAAATACCTGTTTTACCCTTCTCGCAGCAAAAGGCACCCTCTCCCGACGAAACCGAAACCTTGGATCTGATCAAAAGGAGTCGTGGTCTGCCTGTCTTGTTCCCTAATTGCATTCAACGTCTACGTTCATAACGACGCCGATCCCCTGTTCGAGCCCATCGCCGGTCACCATTTCTTCGATGGTGATAACATGGTTCACGCTGTTAGCATCCTGGAACGATCCCCTGTTCGAGCCCGTAGCGGCTAGCTACGCTTGCCGCTTCACTGAGATGCAGCATTTCATTCCTGAACTTCCTCTGCGGCAGAAAAGAATGGATCCTTCTCCCATTAGTCGAAACTCAAAGCCATGTTCTATTAGTACTTCCTCAAAAACGCCTCCCACTGGTCGAAACTCGAAGCCATGTTCTATTAGTACTTCCTCAAAAACGCTACGAAAGAGAAGCTTTTTTCTCACACTTAAATATTCCACTCTGCAAAAAGTTTGTATAAAATGGATCAATGTTATCGTCAATAACTACTATAAGATAGATGGATAGAATCATAAATGGACAGAAATCAAAAAGAGAGAGAGAAGTGAGAGAGAAGGGGGGAGGGGAAGACGCCTTCTTGCCTTCTCCTCTGCCCCTCTTCTTAGAGATTCGAGCGCTGGTTTTGGTGCACAGGTATGTCTGAAGCATCTTATGAACGAGCAGCTCTTTGATGGCCCTCTTCTCCTCAGCCCCTTTTCTCGGAGACTCGAGCGCTGGTTCTGGTGCACAGGTATGTCTGAAGCATCTTATGAACGAGCGGCTCTTTTTGACGGCCCTCTTCTCCGCTGCCCCTCTTCTCGCCTTCTCCTTCTGATCGGGATCACGAGCACCAACGGCCGGTTCTTTTTGACATATAGGCAATGCGTGGGCACCGCTCCAGTCCCGCGAAGGAATAGCTCCGTTGTTGATGTGTTGCCTCCACATGCCCCGTCGTTCGTCATCTCTGTCATCAACCCCTCAATTTCATTGATTACGGATCTACTCCTCACACTGAAGTCACAGCATGTTCTAGCCGCACGAGAAAATCATTCGTATAGGCAAGATCTGCCTCCCTATCCCCACCATCTTAGACCCGGAAGAATCATCTGGGTTTGCTGCAGAAGGCTCCACAGATGAAGAACAACATCGGCAGCGACCTGCGTTCGTGGTTCCGGTCAATCCGTCGACCAAAGTTTGTAGTTCATCGGAATTCCGTCTGACGGGAGTGAGAGTTATACATCGACGCAAGACTTGTGACTGAGGCTGAGGCTGAGGCTGAGGCTGCAGGCGCAACAGATTTACCTCCGTGGAAGAAGAGCAAAACCCAACGCTTTAATGGCAAGCAGTTGAACAAGAAGAACAATGTTGATGAACAGTGTTCGAGGATCATATAATAGGTATTTTGGAAAAAAAGATAATTTCTTTAACGTTTTTCGTCATGATTATTGACGGAAGGGAGGTTTTTGTCAAAGTTTTAAAAATAGCAGCGAGGTTTTTGCTAAAGTGAAACTATAGGGGAGGTTTTTATGATTGTCAGAAACTGCAGTGGAGGTTTTTGTATTTTCTCACGGGAGTGGCTACAAGCCGAGTTTCTCACGAGCTATTTGAGCTCGGCTCGGCTCTGTTTAAACCGAGTTTCGAGCCAAGCTCGAGTCTGATATTATAGGTTTATTTGTTAATCGAGTTGAGCTTAAGCCTAGTGAAGCTCGGCTCATGAGACTCGCAAGCCTAATCGAGCCTAACATAATAAATTATAGGTTTATTTGTTAATCGAGTTGAGCTTAAGCCTAGTAAAGCTTAGCTCATGAGACTCGCAAGCCTAATCGAGCCTAACATAATAAATAAATAATTTTTTTATTATAATAAATAATTTTTATAATTCTTATTTTTATTATATTATACATATATTATAATAATTTTTATAGATATACATATGCATACACATATTCATAATAAATAATTTTTATTATATATAATAATATTTTTATTTTTTATGTATAGTAGCAAATAATTTTTATAATTCTTACAAAAATACTTTTTTGTATATTTTGCATTTGAGCAGAACCGAGCTCAAACTTGTGAGCTTTGAACCGAGTCGAGCTCAAGCTCAAATTTCTGGTTCGAATCGAGCTCAAGCCTAATGCAATTTCAGCAAGCCAACTCGAATAGCCAAGTATTCAGCTTGGCTCAACTCGAATCAACCCTTGTTCTCAGTATACTTGCTGATAGGAATGGAATACCTGTATGATTTTATTTGTTAGGATGGTAGTGTGGTTGCTCCGTTAGGAGAGCACTGTGATTGCCGCTTCACCCTCCTCACCTCGTTTTTTTTGTTTTACTTGAACGAGCTTTTCTCAGCACTAACATATAAGGCTTGGCTAGAATATGGATTGTGGTAGAATTTGAATTACATTAGAATCAGTTTCTGGCTTTTTGCTATTCCTCTGTTTTAGGCTTTATCCTAAATAAGGAGAGTCTCACTCGAACTCTTCCTCTTTCCTGTATTTAAACATCAGCAATGCAATTCACATTGTTTGTTCTTCTTCTCACTAGATTAATTTTATTTATGGTATTAGAGCACCAGATGGCATCTCTTAACAACAACTCGTCCTCTTTTGCTACCACAGCTACGACAAATGGAGAAACTCTCTCTGTTCATGTACCATCCTCAACATTGAATTTTGGCCAACTTGTGACAGTAAAGTTGGACTGATATAACTATTTGATTTGGAGACCACAGGTTCTTCCTGCTCTCTTTGGATCTGAATTACTTGGTTATGCAGATGGTACCTTTCCGTGCCCATCTCAGACCATTCAAGAAGATGGAAAATCTATTCCCAATCCTGCCTACACACAATGGAGAAAACAGGATCAACTCTTACCAACTTGAATGCTCTCAACGATCTCAGAAAACATTCTCAGGCAAGTATTTAAAGCTATATCCACCGCTAAACTATTAATGTTTAAATCATTCTTACTACTTCTACATTTTTTGTCTACCCTTAGCTCTTTTAGCACCTTCCACTTACAACAAATCACGTCTACTAAGGTTGTTGGTGGTCTTAAATCATTTCTTACTACTACCCATATCTTTTATGGTCTACCCCTAGCTTTTTTTGGCACCTTCCACTTGTAACAACTCACTTCTTCTAATTGTATTGTTAGATGGTTTCATTCCTCATCCAATCATTTCTAGTTTTCCATTCACCCTCTTAGCATTCACATGTTACTTGTTTTCTTAACATGCTATTTCTTGATTGCCCATCACTCTATTTCATACAACATAGGTGGCCTTACAATGGTTTTATAGAATTTATTTTTAATTTGAGTGGTATTCTAGTATCACACAAAAGTCTAAATACACCCTTCCATTTTGTCCGACTTAAATAGTCACATTGAGTTATTTCTTCTTGGTCTCCAATCCTGAAGTGGCTTTTTCAAACTCAAGTAGTGCCACAAAAGCATGCTTTAATTATTTTATTCGGATTTTTATCAATGATGCCTCTTACATCATCTGTTTTTGCCTTAAGGTAACCTTTCCATCATAGTTTGAGGGCAAAAATGGCCCTTTCAATTCTTTAGGCTGCATTTGGTTGCAGTACAATTTTATTTGCACTAGTGCAAATAAAAAAAATGCAAATTCCCATTTAATTTTGTTGTGTTTTACTTTAGGGGTTTTTATTGTTCAGTCCACACCTCAGAAATCTGAGCCCCACCATACAGGTGGGATGAATCCTGGGATGAAAAAAAATGCAAATTCCCATTTAATTTCAGATTTCTGAGGTGGACTGCAGTCTACTTATCCCTTTGTTCTGTTTCATGTCTTAATTTACTTCATTTGTACTGCAATCAAACAAAATAAGCTAAAATTTGAAGCAAAAATAGGTCAATTTACCACTCAAATCTTTTGTGCTGCCATAGTTTTGCATCCGTGCAAATTTATTTGCATTGCAACCAAAGACAGCCTTAGGGTCTAAAATGGTTTTTTTAGCAAAGTTCAAGAGTTATCAAAGCCAAAAATAGAAAAATAAAAGTTGGGCGCCCTAATCAATGTATGCAACTTTGTTCTCTTCACTCCAACCCTTTCTCTATATGAAACAATGCTGCCCTCACAGCCTCCAGCAAACCAGCCATCCGAGGTAATCCCGTTCTCTAAAATAGAAACATCAAAGTTGATTTTAACTAGGCCAGACTTGGGGGAGAGTCTTGCAGCTAAGAATGCTCCAAAGTTGGCCGAATCTATCAATTGTGATGGCATCTTGATTGAGGGTGATAGCAAGCAGGTTATAGATTGCATCAATGCCAAAGTAAAGCCCCCTTGGACCGCCAATTCAATCATCCAAGATATTATCGCTCTAAGGGACAGATTGAATATGAGAGTCGGTTTCACTCGTGTTTCATGAAGCCAATTGCCTTGCAGATTTCATGTGTAGGCTGAATCAGATGAACTCGGATCTCATTTCCAAGCCCATTGAAAGAATCAGGTTGCATGACCCACGGATCTGCTCTACCCCCTGCCTTGTGTAGAGCTCCTCTTCTTTTGTACCAAGAAAGATTGTCACATGCATGCTAATGGCTAATGAACGCACATGAGAGAGAGAGCACATCAGGTACCTCATATTCTAATTTGACACCCAAAATCAAAGAGTTGTGAGACTTCAGCCCAGCTGCTTCCTGGTGTTTTGCACACTCCCCTCCTTTTCATCATCATCCTCACCCTTGTTGCTGCATCCCACATTTTCCTTTCCACATACATGTTTGCAAGAATTGCATAGTTTCCTGGGTTTTCGGGCTCTATTTCAAACAGCTTCTGTGCAATAGACTCGGCCAACTCAAGATTCCCATGTATCTTACATGCACCAAGTAGCGCCCCCCATATGCTAGCCTCAGGCCTGATGGGCATGCTCGAAATAAGATTATGAGCCTCATCTATGAATCCAGCACGACCAAGGAGGTCCACCATGCATGCATAGTGTTCCATCTTAGGTACAATAGAACCTAGATCACGCATCAAATGGAAGTACCTCCGACCCTCATCCACCAACCCCCTATGTGCACACGCAGTGAGTATTCCAGTAAATGTAATACTGTTTGGCTGAATCTTGGCATCAATCATCATAGAAAACAAAGAAAGAGCACAGTTGGCATCTCCATGGTGAGCATATCCTGTTATCATGGAGTTGTAGGATATAACATCTTTCTTGGGTATCTTTTTAAATGCATTAAAAGCCTTCTCTATGTTTCCACACTGCACATACATATTTACAACAGCATTCAGGATACGAATGTCAGATCCAAACCCACATTCACTTATGCAGTTTTCTATCCACGCACATACATTCAAACTCCCCAACTGAGTAGCAGCAGAGATCAAAGCCAACATAATGACCTCATCCACCATAATATTAGTTCTCAGCATTTCATGGAAAAGTTTGATAGCCTCCCCTGGTTTCCCATTTTGTACATAACAAGATATCATGACTGTCCATGCTACAACCTCTTTGTCAATCATCTTATCAAATAGCAATCTTGCATTTGCCACATCTCCTGCCCTTGAGTAGCCACCAATCATAATGGTCCATGACACTGTATTTTTCTCAGGCATATGATCAAAGTACCACCTAGCTCTTTCTATATCCCCAAATTGAGCCAACCCATCAATTAATGCATTCCATGTGACAACATTTCTAACAGGCATGTCATGGAATAGCTCTTGTGCCATATCCAAAAACCCATGCCTGCAATAACCCGCAATAATGGCAGTCCAGGAAACCACATTTTTCACTGTCATTCCATCAAAGACCTGTTTTGCTGTTTCTATTCTACTGCATTTCACATACATGTCCAGAACTGAAGTCTGAACAAAAACATCGGATACAAAACCCAGTTTTACAACATCAGCATGGATCTGCTCGCCCTCAGAAAGAGCTTTGAGACCTGCACAAGATTTGAGCACAAATGGGAAGCTAAAATTATTGGGGCAAAGATGCTGATGTCTCATTCGTGCATAAAGCAAAATAGATTCTCTAAAATGACCATAACATGAGTAGCCTCTGATCATTGAAGTCCAAAGAACATTTGGATACTCCACCTGATTGAAAATTAATGAAGCAATCATTTGTTTCCCACAAGCCATGAGAGAGATTATAAGCTTCATTATTAGTGAATTATCCTGGTGTAACCCACTCACAATAATCTGAGCATGGATCTGGTCCAGCTGACTTGAACTTTTGGGTCTCTTCAATAAATAGCCATATAGATCACCCAAGCTTGTCTGCCTGCACATTCTGTGATGGAGAAAACACAGCTGACAGAAGACCCAACTCTATCCAATGCCAATAATCCTGAGTGACAAAATAATTCAATACAATGAAAACTCGGTCACTAGTCCTAATTCATCATGAAAACAATTATTCTGGAAAAATGATCATATCCTGCCCTCAAGATTGATTATTACTCTAAATGAAGAAAGAGTTCAAATGCTGTGAATCTGCCAAATGCATAAAAGAATCTACTAGAGGAAACAAGGGGGGCTTGGATGTAATTTGGTTTAATGTAATTATGTAATTGAATATAGTACAAAGAATAAAAAGCAATCTATTCGTTTTGAAGATAAATAAAAAAGATATTTCATTATATGAAGAGGGGTGCAAGGTAATAGGTGATGAGGCATCACCCAAAATACAAAGCAAATGCTAGAAACAAACAGAACTGACATCCTTCAGATGCATATGCTTTCGATCCAATTAAGACAAGTTCAAGGACCTAAAATCAGCTCCAAAATCTCCCTTCTTGAGGCCCTCGAACTCTGGAAGAATCAATAACCAATCAAGCAATCTCCAAACGATGACAGCACAGTCTTTCCATGCTCTACGTCTTGTTCATAAAGATTCCTCTGTTTCGTTCTTTCCACACCTCCCAACAAATCGCAAAAGGGATTTTACTTGCAAATTACTTGCAGCTATAAGAGGGATACAGATAGAAAGTGAGATGGGCCTAATAAATATGGAGACCAATGGGGGACTCAAAATTGGTGATAGGGTGGTTGAAGGATCCAGAGTTCTATAATCTGGTGCTTTAGGGATGAGATGAAAAAGTTTAGATGGCTAACCAGAAACATGAACTTGAAAATCTCTTGGGTTAGGAGAACAGCTAATGCTATGGCAGATGGGCTATCTAAACAAGGGGTAAATAGGGACAGTTTGTATTGGGCTCAATTGTTATTGATATTTGTCACTATCCTATTAAAGTTTTTGTGTGAGAGGTAACACCTTGTGCCTCTCTGCAGGATGCTTGTGATAGGTCCCAGTCAGAAGCGCAAGAAGTAAATTGCTCTCTTAGGGTGAGAACAGACCTCAAGGTTTTGGGATAAATTTTCTCTGCCCTCTTTCATTCATCAAAGGGAAATATATACAAGGAATAACTGACAACTTCTTCCTAAAAATCAGACCACTACTACGAGTATTTACATCCTAGAATACCACTAAGTACATAACCAAAATAACTTGCTGGAAAATAGGAATCCATAAATCTAGTGGAAGCAGAGATAACTGACAACTAAGGACTGGTTGTTTCTGCCATGACTTAGTCCATGAACCGTGGATTTGGCCGAGGAATACGCTGGCTTCTTCGTGGCTTAGCATTACCCCCCCTTCCAAGTGGAACCTTGTCCCCAAGGTTCAGGTCAGGAAATCTCGGGGTTGCAAGGAAGATCGGTGTCGGTTACGTTGATGTCTTCTTTAGCTTCTTCCTCGAAACCACCTTCCAACAAAAGAAGTTGAGGGCCCTTGCATCTATGACCTGCAAAAAATTTTTCATCGCAATTGAAGCATAGTCCTTGTGCACGTCTCCTTTGCATTTCATCCCATGAAAGTTTCTTAACAGGTGCAGCCTTTGTAGTTGACAGCGATGACAGCGAAGTGTGAGCCGATAACGGTTGTCGTGAGAATCGTCGCTGCCGCTGCAATTGATCTTCCTTCATGCGCGCCAAGCTTATCGCTCCTTTCAACGTCTTTGGTCTAAACATGCGTATCCCTTCAGCAATTTCAGGCAGCAACCCACCCATGAACGATCCCACAAGTGCTTTTTGCGACCATCCATGCACCCGGTTGCCCAATCTTTCAAACTCTTTTTGGTAGTCACGCAGGGACCCAACCTGTCGAACCTTAGTTAGGGCTTCATCAAAATCCTCACACTCCGTTGGTCCGAAACGAGCCCATAATTCCTCCTCAAATAGTTCCCAGGTCACCACTCGTCCTTCCTCTTGATATGCACGACGCAACCATTGCCACCATTGATTGGCCTCCCCTTCCAGATGGAACGAGGCTAAAGACACCTTTTGATTGTCTGGCGTGCCCTGAAACTCAAAAAATTGAGCTACTCGATTAAACCATTATGTTGGATCATCACCTGAATATTTTGGGAACTCAAGCCTTGCCGTTTTGGAGGAGAAAATTGGCTTCCCCCCTTCATTCTCACGACCTTCCTCTTTAGTGAGTTGTAAACGCTCATTAGAAGTGCTCATCTCAGGAGTATTGTTGGAGGCGATGCTTCGGTTAGAAAGGATGGCATCGGACAACTTACTGATGGCATCTTCTAACCGCTTGATCTTATCTGCCATTCCAATCTCTAATCTTTCTAGACCGTCTTGAACTCCACCTAGCCCCTTTTCCAAGCTCTCAATTCGCTCTTTATTAGACATCTTAACCTGGCGCTCTGATACCAATGATAGGTCCCAGTCAGAAGCGCAAGAAGTAAATTGCTCTCTTAGGGTGAGAACAGACCTCAAGGTTTTGGGATAAATTTTCTCTGCCCTCTTTCATTCATCAAAGGGAAATATATACAAGGAATAACTGACAACTTCTTCCTAAAAATCAGACCACTACTACGAGTATTTACATCCTAGAATACCACTAAGTACATAACCAAAATAACTTGCTGGAAAATAGGAATCCATAAATCTAGTGGAAGCAAAGATAACTGACAACTAAAGACTGGTTGTTGCTGCCATGACTTAGTCCATGAACCGTGGATTTGGCCGAGGAATACGCTGGCTTCTTCGTGGCTTATCAGCTTGTAATGCCTACTCTCATTGAGATTCAATAAATACTTTGTTTACTTGTCAAAAAAAAAAATTGCAAAAGGGATATAACTCCACAAGATTTTTTCTTTCTTGCTACCATTCAACAATGGTTACTTCTCAAAGATTTCTTTGGGAAATCAAGGCTCTCATCTCCCCATCTTGAAGAGACAAAAGAAAAAGAACCAAATGCATGCACTGCATATACAGTCAACCATCAAATGGATAACATTTGCAGCATCACTTTCACACAAGGCACATCTATTTGCAAAGATGAAGCCTCTTTTCTCCAAATGATCCTGACTAAGAATGCTGTCCATCACCACCAGCCAAGCAGAAGCCTCCACTTTAGGAGGAATTGGGTTGCCCCACACTCCTCTGACATGATGTCTCTCTATCTGATTTTCAGCCAGGATTTTATGGAAAACTTGCAACTTTTATTTCCCTTCCACCATCTAGCATCCAGGGCCTCTAGATGAATCACCGTACCCTGCAGTCGAGATAACAACACCACACACTCTTCCATTTCCCTATCAAGCAAAGGCCTTCTGATGTTGGGACACCAGCACACCTCCCCCTGTTCCTGTACAGTCTTGGACAGACATCTAACAACTTCCCCACACTTAACCATTCAACTTTCCAAAATCTGATGCTAGAGACATTCCTCACTTTCCAAAATACACAAGAATTTACAGCTGATTGAAATTTCATAATTCCTTCATTTATCAAAAAAAAAAATCATAATTCCTTTCCATATACTCACCCCATAAGAAGAGTTAACCTCCCTCGGGTCCACCCAAGATCCAACACTCCATACTTACAAGCTATAACCCTCCTCCACAAAGCCTCCCCCTCCCACACAAACCTCCATACCCATTTCCCCAAAACAGCTTGATTGAAAGTCCTCACCCATCCCCAAACCTCCATCCTCCTTTGCCCTACACACCCACTCCCATCTCACCAAATGAAACTTTTTTTGAGCCATTTTAACATTCCATATAAATCCTTCTGAAGCCTTTCAATTTCTTGACTCACCACCACAGAAACTTTTAACGACAACTTGAAAAGACGCTTTAAATGATGTAACCTTCCCCCCAAATGACAAATATTTCCCCTTCCACCCTGCTAGCCTTTGCTCAGTTATATCCAAAACCAGCAGCCATGTAGATAGGGCTGAAGCTTTTGCGCCAATAGGTAGGGAATTCACCTATCAAACAGCTCAATGAAGCTGCACACTTTTCCATAGTTCCCTGCTGCACATTTCCTACCCCAATCATAACACTTTAGTTTAAATTAATTTTCAACCCGGATAGCACTTCAAAACCTTTGAGGACCCCCCTCAATTTCAGCACTTGTTCTGCTGATGCATCCACAAAGATCAACATATCATCAGCATATTGTATATGAAAAATATTCAACCTCTCTCTCCCCACCTCAAAGCCCCTAAACAAACCTGCCTCCACACCTTTGTTTAACAGCCTACTCAACACTTCCACCACCAATACAAAATGTAATGGAGATAATGGGTCCCCTTTTCTTAATACCCTTGAAGACCCAAAAAATTCAGTAGAAACTCCATTAACTAACACCGAGAAAGACACTGAGGAAACACTTGCAAACACCCAGCTTCTCCATTTCTCCCTAAGACCCATTAAACTCATCACCTCTTCTAAAAAGACTCCGCTCCATAAAAATCAATCTATTTTAATAAGGATGCTGATGTTTGCAGGTGCCCAACAATGAAAAAAGTAGTTTCTAACATGGTGTTTTAGGAAAACCTGAAATAGATTAGTATTATAAACTTTTCCACATGTATCATGGAGATGTAAAACGACATAGGTGTTTGGCACACAAAGTTCAGAAAATGGATTTCCCTGGTAAACTAGCAGAAAGCAGATTCTAAAAAAACTCAAGAGTGCCTAAAAACCTGTCTAGATGTATCTGCTATCTACCAGACAGATATATGATTACACATACAGATTAAAGGGGATGAATTTAGTTTCTTTAAACCCAATAGAAGGGTTCTGTTCAAATTATTTCATTAAATAACTGTAAGGGATTAAGAAATTTAATTAAATACAAGCAAGTCCAGCACATGTCCTTTGTCAACTTTTAAGACTTGGGATAACATACAGCCTGCCCGCTCCTTACACCAGAGATATCATTCTCCATTGCAGTGACCCAAAAACTCAAACTTTGTTCCACATTCAAATGAATTTAGATTCAGATTTACATTCTTTGTTGTCTATGAGAACCATCTAGACCTGTGCACAATCAAGTTGGGTTTAAAAAATCCTCAGCTATAGTATAGGTGGATGAAGAAGAAAGAACCTCTTTCTACAATATATGTATAATTAGGAAGCATCTGAGATTTAATCAAGAAAAAAAAAAGAAAAACAAAAAGAGAAAAACATTACACATTTGGGTGTATCCTTGCAAATCAGCATACACAATCCCCAACAATGATCTTTCTAATCAAAAGCCCAAAAGGCCATCCATCGCTGGATCTATGCAACCTAAACTTAGCTGATATAATTATAATCATAATCTAAAATAACAAAAGCATATAATTCCCTTATCCAGAGTTCAAGACTCTTGCTTGGGTGTAAACTCGAATTTGGGTTTCAGAAGGGGTTTAAGGGAAAATGAGTGTGATGCTTTTACTTGTTCTAGATTCCTTAATCCAGTTGCTGGACCTGCTAGGGCAAGTTTGTTTGGACCTGTCCATGGAGGACTCTAGAATATGAGTAGGTTCTTTAGATGGTCTTTTTACTTGTTCTTCTTTCTTTAGAGTACTTGCCTCACCTAGTTTGGGGATTTCCCTGTGAAAGAAATTTGGAGTAAGCCTATCTCCCCGAAAATTCAAGCTCTCTGTTGGGAAATCTTCCTTGGTAATGTATTTGTGGTATACGGCAGAGAAGAATGCCACATGCCTGCCTTTCTCCTCAAATGTGCTCTCTCTGTAAAGAAAGTGGTGAGACCCTATCTCATTTATTAATATCCTGCACATTTGTGCATCAAATTTGGGAGTTTTCTTGTGTTCTCTTTGGCTGCAGGTGGGTTACCCCTCAAGATGTGGTAGGCCTTTTCAACCCTGACTTCTTAAGGCAACCAAAGAAAAGAGGGGTGGTAATGTGGAGAGCTTTGAAGGCAGCAGTATGCTGGATGGCGTGGGAATAAAGGAATAAGAGGATCTTCTTGGAGAAAAGCAGAACAGTAGAGGAAGTGATAGACATCATAAAGGTGAAAGTATCTCACTGGGTAAAATCCTTGGATAGCTTCCAAGTTTTCTCAGTCATCGACATCCTAAAAACTTGGACCTAAGTAGCACAGTCTTTGAGAGTGAAAGAGAAAGTAAGGGTGGAGTGGACACCTCCAGAAGGCAACAAAATCAAACTGAATTTTGATGGGAGCTCCCTTGGAAATCTGGGATTGTCAGGTATAGGAGTAATCAGAAATTCTAAAAGGAGGATATTGGCTTTGTTCTCAGGACTGATTGGCACCAGAAATTCATTGAAGGCTGAACTGTGGGCATTGCTACAAGGTTTGAAACTAGCTAAACAGTTGGAATTTAGGCATATTGAGGTGGAAGGAGACTCAAAAGTGGTCATTTCATGGGCTAGAAGAAAGTCAGCAACAGACTTACCCCTTGGACTTTCAAACATGTGATTAGGGAAGTGGAAAAGATTGCAAAAGATGTAGAGGCTGATTCCAAATGGGTCAGAATGAGTGCAAATGGGCTAGCTGATACCCTTGCCAAACAAGGGGCACTGAGGCATCAACTATTTTGGGCAGCTTTGTAACGTGGGACAGAAAAGTGTGCTCAATTGGGAATAACACTCCCACCACCTAGTTGTACTAATTTGTTTCATCCTTAATTATAAATAAAATATATTTTTACTGATAAGAAAAGAATCCTGCTTGGATAAAATTAACTCGGACCATACCCATAATCCAATATCAATTGCAAAGACAGATTTTTCAATGTTGCATGGATATGCCTGTATTGTGGATGACTTGTGTCTCCTGCTAAGAATTTGTGGACAAGTTTATCAACCTCAATCCAACTGTATCCTGATGCTTTGGCTATTCCTCTTTTACTCATCCAATGCCGGACCTTTGCAACATCATCCCACCTATTGGACCTAGCATAAATGTTAGACAACAGCACATAGTTTGCAGGATTCTCTGGCTCAACTATGAAAAGCTTTCTTGCGGCAATTTCACCAATTTCAATATTGCAACAAGTCTTGCATGCCCTAAGCAAGGCCCCCCACACACCAGCATGAGGTTCCAGTTTCATTGTTTTTATCAACTGATAAGCCTCCTCAATGAATCCTGCACGGCCAAGGAGATCAACCATGCAAGCATAGTGATCAACCGAAGGCTCTATTTTGTAATCCCTGGTCATGCAACTGAACCATTCATTACCCATACCTAGCAGGCCAGCATGGCTACATGCAGTTAAGATACCCAAAAGGGTAACTGCATCTGGCTTCAAACCACCAACTAACAACTCTGAAAAAAGTTTCAGGGAATCTTCCGCATGCCCATGTTTAGCAAAACCTAGAATCATTGCATTATAAGTCACTACATCCTTGTAGGGCATCTCACAGAACACTCGATAAGCATCATCAAGACTCCCACATTTGGCATACATGTCAATTAAAGCATTGAACATGTAGATATTCATTTCCATTCCACTACAGTCTTTTATGTACTCATGTATTTGTTTTCCTTTCTCCAAAGCTCCAATGCATCCACAGACTGAAATAATAACAGCCATGGTTACCTGATTGGGTTCCACATTCTCCAGTTTCATCTCATTGAAAAGTAGCAAAGCTCTTTCACCATCTCCACTGTGAGCATAACCTCTAATCAATGCATTCCAACAAGACACATCCCTCAAACACATTTGATCAAAAAGTTCCTGTGCGGCTTGCATGTTTCCATGATTAGTGTAACTAGAGATCATGGAAGTCCATGAAATTGAATCCCTTTGAGTCATTTTGTCAAATATTTCTCTGGCAGCTTCAACATTTCCAGCTTTTCCATAGCACATAATCATGGCATTACACATCACAAGATTTCTCTCACATGAAGTTTCAAACAAATGCACTGCTGCTTCAATGCAGCCAAACTTGGCATACATGTCCATCAGCGTTGTTTGCACATAGATGTTGGTATTCAGTCCCAGTTTAAGAGCATGAACATGAATCTGGTTGCCTTCTTGAACAGCTGACAAAATGGAACATGCTTTGAGAACAGATGACAGTGTATAACTGTTCGGTTCTATCATATGCCTCTGCATCTTCTTGTATATCAGAATAGCTTCTACTGTAGCTTGAGACTGATTTCTTGAATAAGCTGTTATCATGGCAGTCCATAGAAACACATTCGCTGTGCCCATAGAACAATCAAAGATTTTACGGGCATAATCAATATTTGCCAACACTTTGGTACTCAAAGATAAAAGTTTGACAGAAAGATAATTTTCATGGTGGAGACCACTTGTGATTATAGGAGCATGGACCTGCTTCAACAATTTCATGGATGCACATTTCTTGAGGCTCTCAAAAATTTCCCCTACAATTTCCCCAGTCCTTGAGTTAAGTTGAAGAGGAACAGGTTTCAATTGCATGTGATCTCCACAAACTTGAAACTTCTTCCCATAGAATTACTATAGTATCAGCCTCTTCAAAAGGAGGTTACAGTCTAACAACCCCTTCAAGGAGTTTGATGGGTTTACGTTCCAAAGCAGCTCATCCCTCCATGTCCTGAGCCAGTCAGTTGAAGATATCCATTCAATCAGTCAGGAACTCAGGCATTAAAATACATGTGGAGATTACACTTTAGGGCAAGCTAAACACCTCATCTTTATAGGTTCAAAAATATGTAATATTGTGTGAAGTTTATTAATCTTCATAACCACCAACACTAAAATTGTATATATTGATCCCTTTGTTACACGAGAGAGAGACCAAAATAAGACAAATGCCAGGATATTAGAACATGACCAATAGACAATAGTAGAGGAGGAAATCAAATAACTGTACCCAATAGAAGTGATGTTGGCAAATAAACTAATCCATGAGAGAAAACCCGTATGCCCAAAGATCTACCTTCGATGTCAGAAAAAAGAAACAAGGATGTGATTTATCATCACATTCGCTTATTCTGCTATTCATTCCAACCGGCCATCATAAAACAGTACAGAAAATTTTCAGGAAACGCAGATAAGATGTTTCTAATTGATAATTTCCGTATCAAGAACAACGAACAATTTTACCTAGAAGAAAGTTTCCGGTTAAGAGGATAACAGGAAACAGTGAAAAAGGAATTTAAGCGATATCTCGACATTCAGATGTCTTAGCTCTCAAACATCCTCGCCACTAGATTGGCTATCTTCGCCTGAGTCCATCGCCCTCAAACTTTCAGCCATCATCCGTTGCCTGTTCTGGGTCTGTCTTTCTACACCGACCATCCACAAGCCTAAAGCAGTAATGGCTGACAAGTATCAGTATCAAATGAAGAAGCCAAGATGCTGAAGTAGAGTTCCTACTGAGATGTCTTATGATAGCACCAATACGAACATATGGCACTTCCAATCGCACAGAACCTCAGGATCCTCATTGACCATTTATCGCCGATAACTTCTCTGTTTCCCATCTTTTGTCACCAACACACAGAAGTTCAGAATCGACTGATGGACAGATCCTCAAAACTGAACTCTTGGGCAGTTGGACTTGCCTTCCGCCGCCGAAGTCTATCTTTATTCTGTAGTCTCAGTAGTCACCTTCGCTGAGGACTTCAATAGTTGCACATTTCTTTTGGGTCGGACCTGGCTGAGTGGCTTAGGGTTTTCTTGGCACCAGCCAGGCAACCCGTCCCACATTATGTGAGGGCTTTGTGCGGGTCCAGGTCCGGGCTGAGTGGGCATGAAAGAAAATGGTTGCCTGGGACCGGAATTTTCTGTGCTGGGCTGAACGGGCCTAGGGATTTTTGCCCCAGCCCGGTCCGAATTATGTGCAGGTCTGGAGTCTGGACTAGGCTGGGCATGAAAGAAAATAGTTAACTGAATCTATAAATTTCTGTGTCAAATCGGGTCAGGTCATAAATTGATAATTCTTAAGCTTTGGGGTGTGGAAAAAATTTGACTAAATTATAAATAAGTACCTTTTACTTTGGGGATAGTGACATTTATGGCTTTGAACTTTCAAGTGCAACATTTTACTATTTTAGTATCCTTACCTTTTAGAAATATACACTTAAGTCCAACCATGGTAAAACTAACAATACAATGAATTTAGATTCTCTTTTGTTTGTTGAACCTTTATTTTACTCTTTTATTCATATAAAACCATCTCTGTACTTCTTTTCAACAAAGAATAAAAGCATTTGAATGGAACAACAAGAACAATGGAAAAGAAAATCTAAATATGGACTTTTTTGTAATTTTACCTTCACTATAATGCTAGTTTTATCGGCGTTACTCAAGTGTGTATTTTTAAAAGTTCAAAATACTAAAATTCCATACTTGAAAGTTGAGGCCCTTGAATGTCACTACCCCTAATCAGTAATATCAGAGGAGGGTACAAGAGAGTAGTCACTTCAGGGCAGAGAGATCAAGTACGTGGCCTGTTACAAGATAAAGCCCGACACGCTAAGCAATGGGTCACCTGTTAGCAGTCCTCCTAACTAAAGAAACCGAGATAATTGGAAGGCGTGAAATATAGCTTCTGCAGTGCACGATTAGGGAGCTGATTTTCCACGGTGGATGAAGTGTTTCCAGTACAGAAGCTGAACTATAACTGAAGCATCACCTTCAATAATCACATTATTTTGATTTAATTCCACTGTGAATTCCAGTCCATAGAGGAAAGACAAGGCTTCCGCTTCAAGTGATGTGCATGGCTGCAAGGGGATTGCTCTAGAAAACATGTGAGAGCCATTGTGGTCATGGAGCACAATACCAATCCCCGTAGCCTCAGTACTCGTAGTTCTATCAACATTAATTTTTATGCAGTTCTGGGGAGGTTTAATCCATTGTCTTGGGACATTTTCAAACAACTTCTGTTCATTCAGTGGGGGAGGTGAGCTTCAACTTGTTTGAAGAATGGAGTTGGTGTAGGCTTGTGCTCTAATGAGAACCGACTGGGGATTGAATGGTTGATGTTCAAACACCTTCTTGTTTCGATGCCACTATATGAACCACATCAGTACAACTGCATTCAAAAGGACATGTCGTCCTTGCTGAGTTAGGTCCATTTTCCACCACTCAGCTAACCTCTGCGCTATCCTTTTGCTCGAATTACAGTCCATGCGCATACCTAAAGTGGAACCAAACCAGATCGGCGAGACAGCAAGGCAAGAAATCAGAACATGTTCCAAATTCTCCTCATTGCCGCCACAAAGCGGGCACTCCATCTCATTTATAACCCGGTGTTTAGCTAGGCTGCCTTTAGTGGGTAATGAATCATGCAATACTCTCCAAATGAAAATCTTGACATGAGGAGGAATAATTTTCTATTTCCACTAGTGCTTTCGATACAGCTCTCCATCAATCACACCCATATTAGATGTTCCTGGGTTTTCAACTTCTAGTACCTTTTAAGCATGAAGAAATTGTAAATTCTCCATGGGGAGTGACCGTCTAGACTAGGAAATCATGAGTTGCAGTACCTGGATTTGGGAGCCAAATTCCAACTATACGTCTGACAGTATCGTTATCAAAAACTCACCTCAGTTCATCTCTTTTCCATGACATAGAGGGGTGGTGAATAAAATTTGCCATCGGCCAAGTCCATGTTGTACTTCCATACTTTCCAGACCCCTAGAAACTGAAGGTATCCAAGGATCACAACCAGTATCTACATCCCATCCATCGCCTATAATCCATCTACAGGCTTTCAATAGAATTTTCCGGCAATCAAGCATACTAGACCAGGTTGGAGAGTTAGCACCCTTCTTGGTAGAGCTCCAAAAGGATCCATGTTGTAAGTACTTTGCACAGAGGATCTTCACCCATAAGGAATCTGAGTTTTTACAAAAGCACCAGCACAATTTTGATATAAGAGCTTTATTTCTCTATGCCACACCAACCAAGCCTAAGCCTCCCAATTCTTTAGGCTTAAGAATACTATCCCAGGATTTGAGATAATGTCCCTTCCCTCTCTCCTTTTTTCCCCACTAGAAATCTCGGAAAATAGCATTAATATCCTCGGCTACTTTCTTTGGCACTAGGCTTGTTTATAGGTGATACATTGGTATTGCTTCGAGTGACGATTTGATGAGAACAGTACAGCTAGCTTGCGACAAAGTATTTGCTTGCCACCCTTGTAGCTTGTTTTTAATCTTTTCTGGCAGGAAATTCCAGTCAGTCGTTAAGGCTTGAGAACTAAACATAAGCCCACTGAGGTAGAAACTTTGTTTTCCCAGAATAGAGACCCCTAGCATGGATGTCACAGGTCCTTCTTTGGGTGTTGGGGCTGAAATAGATGGCTGATTTTTTGTAATCGAGTTCCTAGACAGACCAATTACAGAAGAGTTGCAGTTGATCTTTTAAGCAATGGATTTCAACAAGGGAGCATTTCCCAAATATCAAAACATCGTCAGCAAAAAGCAAGTGATTTATTCTTACTCCTGTTCTGCCAAATTTAACGCCATGGACCTCTCCATTCTCCAGTTTTGAGCTCAGAAGACAAGATAGGATCTCTGTGCACAGAATAAAAAGGTATGGGGAAAGAGGGCAGCCCTGTCTAATTCCCCTCGAAGGCGTAAAGAATTCTCCAACACAGTCATTGACAATAACAGCAATGCTAGTGGTGGCAATACGGTTGTATATCAAGTTGCAGAAAAGGTTAGAAAAACCGAGAGCTTGCAGCACCTTGAGCACGAAATCCCATTCAAGCCTATCACAGGCCTTGCTGAGATCTAATTTCAACATAAAAGTAACTGTTCTTACCTTTCTGCTTCTTCATAGTATGTATTACCTATTTACAAATGACCATGTTATCTGTGATTTGCCGACTCGGCGTAAATGCTGCCTGGAAGGGAGATATGAGCTGAGGAAGCAGAGACTTCATTCTTCTGGTGATGATTTTGCATGAGACATTACTGAGTCCAATGGGTCTGAAATCTTTGGCCTCCTCAACTTTATCACTCTTTGGAATTAAGCAGAGAAAATTTTGGTTAATCTCTTTGATACTTGTCGGATTCCTAAAGCAGTTTTGCACTGATGAAGGAAGATTTGGCCCGACCTCACAAATCACGCCACGTGGCAAAAAATAAATAAGCTCGGCACTTAAAACAGCATACCGAGGGTACAAACACCAAAGGGAAGAGACTAGCGGTCCGAACTCCCTACAAGGTGCCCGAACTCCCTACCTAGAGATTCGAACTCCCTACAAAGTGCCCGAACTCCCTACTTAGAGCTCGAACTCCCTACGAGGAGCCCGAATTCCCTGCAAGGTGCCCGAACTCCTTACTTAGAGCTCAAACTCCCTACGAGGAGCCCGAACTCCCTGCAAGGTGCCCGAACTCCCTACTTAGAGCTCGAACTCCCTACGAGGAGCCCGAACACCCTGCAAGGTGCCCGAACTCCCTACTTAGAGCTCGAACTCCCTACGAGGAGCCCGAACTCTCCCTTTGGCCCCGAGTCACACAAAGCAGAGACCCGAATTGGCCCGTC